TTAATATCATAGTCTCATATCATGTCTCTAATTAAAATTTATTTATTACACATGTGCTAACCTATGTATTCATAAATGAATTCAAGGAGTATGACTTGAGGGGGAGCTTTTCTTACTCCCAAATCAAATCAAAACATCATTGTGTGCTATTATCAAAAAGGAGGAGATTGTTAGACTTATTTATTTTAATGATTTATTTAATTATGTTTTAATTTATTTAGAAGAGAAAAATAGAATCAAAATTTATTTTGATGATTTATTTGAAAGAGAAAAATATAATCAAAATTTATTTTGTCTCATTATTTCTCACCTAAACATTTATCCTAAATGTTGTTAGAATGTATTTAATATTTGATTAAATCAGGAGTTCAAACAGCCCAAAACAAAGGTTCAAATAGCCTAGCACAGCAGCAGGCCAAAAGGTTCAAAAGGTTCAAGTAGAAGATATTCAAATTAGTAATGATGGAAGGACAACGGCTATAAAGGTTCAAAAGGCCAAAAGGTTCAAAAGTTTCAAGTGGAAAATATTCAAATTTGTAATGATGGAAGTACAACGGCTATAAACGGCTATAAATTCAAATGACTATAATGGCTATAAACGGTTATAAACGACTATAAATTCAAATAAATACAACGGCTATAATTTTCATTATATATACCAAGCCTCTAATGTAAACAAGTTACAAAAAACCTGAAAATATTCTTTGATCTATAATCACTCACATCTATTCTCAGAAATTATACACTGAGCCTTACAGCATTAAGTTCATCTTTCCTGTGTGAGATTTACAGAAAAATCAAAATTTCATTTTATATATCTATCTTTGAGAAATATTTATTGTAAGCTTTCTTTGAAAGCAAAATTACCATTTCATCTTGTAAAAGTGTTGCAAATACTGTGTTCTTGAAATATTGAGAGTGATTGTGAATCACCTAAGAGTTGCAAGGGTTTGGGCTTGTGAAGTCTGTGTAAAATCCGTGAAGGATTGCTCCATTTGTAAAGAGGTTGTTAGCACCCATGTGAAGCTAGAAGATAGTGAAAAATCTTAAGTGAAGCTTGAGGAGTGGATGTAGGCTTGGTTGAAGCCGAACCACTATAAATCTGTTTGTCTTCTCTTCCCTAATCTCTTTACTTTCATACTACTGTTATAGCTATCTAATATTCATGTGTTAATCATTTGATTTACCCTGTATGTTAGTTATATTTCATTGTTATTTTGCTTGATCATTTACTGCTAAGTTCATCATTGTGCTTGTTAACAATTTGTTGTACTAGTAGTTAATTTTATTGGGGCATTATTAATTTTAATTTGTAGAAACCTAATTCACCCCCCTCTTAGGTTACTTTTTGGGTAACATATTTTTTAAAAATTTTACTTTATTTACGTACTTGTATCGTAGCAGTATCCGTACTTGTACTCGCACCCGTACTTCATAGATTTGGTGTTATGCTATTCACAGTACTTAGAAAAGTTACTCAAAATTTTACTTGTATTAATTTCAAATATACACCCTACACTCCAATGGTAAAATTCTGATGGGCTAGTTTGGCAATTTACAAAAAAGTCAAAAAGTCAAAAAAAAAAAAATTTTTAAAAAAAGTTAAAAAGTTATCACTATTCATAAAAAAAAAATATAAAAAATTTTATTTTCATACAAATTGTGAGACAACTCACTCTGACGGAAGGCGGTTGTGCTTGACTTTAGTGAGGATAAATTACCCAGGCGGAGGCAAGCTTAAGGACTATGTTGTTCGGCCTGTGGAGGCCATCACGGATCCCGTTTTCATAATCTAAACCGTCAATGTGTAGAAATCATTGAGTACTATATGCCTATAAAAAATCACGTTGATCGGATATCGCTAACTATATGATCAAATCAATTTTGTATTAAAAAAAATGGATAGTGTTATAGTTAACGGTTGAAAAAAAAACTAATCCGATCAGATAGCTATCGATATTCGATCGAATTGATTTTTTATAAGCATATAGTACTCGACGAGTTCTACACATTGAACGGTTCCGATTAGCAAAACGGGACCCGTGGTGGGCCCCCATGGGCCGAACAATACATTCCAATTTATGTCCGAAAATGAGAGAATCAACTCCACCCCTACACTCTGTCACGCTACCCCTCACGCTGCTGACCGGACGGTCTATTCCATCACTAACTTCTCCTATACACTTATTTATATAATTTTTTAATACACATTTTTTTATAAAAAGTCAAAAAATTAACCCAAATATTCATATTATTTTCCTCAACTTTTTAATCTAAAAAGACAAAAAATACACTTATTTAGAATATCCCAAATAATTCGAATTTTCATGATAGCTAGAAGTATTGTATCATATTGGGAGCTCTGTTCACTTTGCTAGAACTTTTAGTACAATAATTCTTGTGATATTTCATCAATTAATGTGGCCTATACAAGTGATGGCTTAAAGGAAAATGACTTGTGTCCTCCAAGGAAAAGTCAAGAATAAACACAATATAGGACCAATTATAATCCAGATTTCTTGAGTTTTCTTTTTGGTCAATAATAATCACAATAAGTGAAGCTTGGGACTAATTATAATCTAGATATCTTGAGTTTTATTACTACTGTCAACAACGCATTTCCTTACTTCTTTTTTTTTGTAACACAAAAAAGAAAAAATAAAATAAAATACTCTAATATGTCATCATTATATCTGTGGTCTCAGAGCATTTTCTTATTTGATCAAAAATGCTTGAGACCACTAATTAGTGGTGGCACTAATAATGTGGCAGTAAGCCCCACCCACTACCACAGTGTTGCTGTGTTTTTTTTTTTTTTTTCTACCTCATTAGTGGTGATTTAGTAATACCAAATTAGTGATACCAACCACTACTACTCCCAATGCTTTTGCCACATAACTTTGGCAGTTTATCAACAATGATTCATCCCACTAAAAACATCACCACTAATAGCACTAATGCATTAAAAAAAATAAAAAAATAAAAAAAAAATACAACTCCAAGACCAAAACATCACATCATTAATGACGGGACCCAGTGCCACCTAATTAGTGGGAGCACTAATTAGTGCTCCCAAGCATTTTTCGCAGTTTATATGTTATATATATATACTAGGTTAAAAAGACCGGCGTAAGGCACAGATTATTATTATAGCATATTTAAATTTTATATTTTGATAATTTTTTAAAAATTAGAATATTATTTTATAAAATTGAATAGAATAAATCATTAAATGTATGATAGAATTATTTGATATGATATGTATTATTTTTTAATTTATTATACACCTAATGATGTATTCTTTCCGAATTTATAAAAAAAAATATATATTATGGTGTGCAACTTTTCTCAACAGATAAATATAAAACAAATATTAAGATAATTCTCTCATTTAAAAAAAAACTACTAAGATAATTCACTGAACTAATAAAAAAGTAAAAGAAAATACATATATATACAAATAACTAATTTTTATTAATATATAAATCATACTCGCATAACAAATGACCAATTTTATTAATAAGTAAATCATTAAGTAAATTAATAATTTTTAATGATATGAAAAATATTTTTCAGTTAATCATTTTGTTAATAAATAAATTATTAAGTAAATTAACAGTTTTTAATGATATAAGAAATATTTTTTAATAAATAATTTTGATAATTTATTATTACATAGGAGAATAATACTTTTTTTTTTCCTTTAGTATTGTTAAATTAAAATTTATAACAACCGATAATTGTAATTTTTAATATTGTAATACCAATTTATATTTTAAACAAACTTTATAAGTGTATTTGTAATTTGTTAAAAAATAAAAAATTTACATTTCATAATTGATCAAGAATGTCTTCGTTATTACAAAAAAACCTATTTTATAATTGACTAAGAAGATTTGTGTAATTATAGAAAAAATATGTTGCATAATTGATCAAGAATGTTTGTGTAATGACGAAAAAATATTCATTCAATATTATAGACCACCATTAGTAAATTATTCAAAATAAAATGACAAAATCAAAAAGAAAAAATAAATCTCAAACAATTAAACAGTTCTTATGTATATAAATATAAATACAAATCTACACTAAATCAATGGAATCAGTTTGGGGTGAGATAAACAAATTGGTGCATTTTTTTTTAAGGAGTACAAGAACATCTTATTATAATTAGGTAAAAGAGAAGTGGGGAAGAGTTATTTTTACAATCAAACCCAGCATTCAAGAATTCCAAACAGCATGACAACCAAACCACTCAAGAAATTGGTGAATTTATTTATTAATTAATTTATTTATTAATATTATTATTATTATTATTTTTTATCAAGATCATATTATAATTCTAACCTAAGAGGATAGGGGAAAAGCTTGCTAGAATCAAACTCAACCAACAAACAAAGCATCCAAGAGTCCCAACCACCGGGACAAGCAAACCACTCCAGAGATTGGCATTTTTTAAAGTACAAGAACACCATATTATAGTTCTAACCTAAGAGGAGAGTGGAAAAGACTGCTAGAATCAAATTCAACCAACCAACGAGGACGGCATTGAAGAGTCGCAGCCACCAGGACAACCAAGACAGGGTCCCCAGCCAACAGCACAACCAAGACGCTCGACAAATTGATCTCATCTTTATGAGAAAAGAAAAAGAGGGGTGATGCCAATGAAATATCCTTCATGGGCAAATTGTTCATACACCAAAGGAATTCCACAATTTAAGCAATCCGAATTACACAAAATTGCCTATCAGAACCTTAATGGGTCTGAAATCTGATTTACGACATTTTCACAGCCCAAAATTTCATGTTATTAGTTACTTACATGATTCACAACACTTGTGAATCCAAAATTCCACGTGACCAGAAAATCAAAGCCCAAAGAAAAAGCAAATAGAGAGACAAAATGCTTCCCCGCCGCAACATGATTTTTTTTTTGTAAACATTCGATCAGATTTCTCAAGCTGCTATATAAAAGCAAATCAATTTCTAGAATATTGGGATTTTGCAAAATCACAATTCACACTTCTTGAACAAATAGGAGCCTAAAAACAAAAGAGTATTCTTAAATGAAACCTCTTTTACAAAACAACATTCTCTGTAAAGAGTGAAAGATTTTAGCAAACAATTATCTCTCTCAAAATGTGTTGCAAAAGAACAGCAAATCAAAACCAAATGCTTAAAATATTATCCCAAATCCTAAAAACAATATTACTGCATAGAATTAATTCTTCTGTTATTTTTTAAAGGAACAAGTATTGCGCCAAGCCAAAAACTCCAAAAACAGATTTCTGTAACTCATTTCAATAAAAGAAGCCAAGTACTTTGCCACCAACATTCTTTCTCCTTGCTTCTTCGTGATCCATAATGCCAGCGGACGTTGTCAGCACAATGTACCCAAACTGCAAGTTTATTACACATCCATCTCAAAAAAATCCCGAATGTATATTATTCAGTGTGAGATCAAATGAAGCTCAAGGAAGATTCATATAGGTGATCAATGATCAGGCATGCCACATTGTGAATGTAGCTTGTCAATTTGCAAATTCCTCTTGGTCAGAGAGAGTCACAAAAGATACATATAAATAAAATATAATTCTCTGTTCTTTCATCTTCTCACCACGAGTCAAACACATTTCTCAATCAATTCCAATTCCAAATATTTTAGTTAATTATAGGCTTTAGTTTTCATATTCAAAGACAAAAAAAATCTCATTCAACAACTAATAAATAATAGAGTTTTCTTGAGGCAAACCTGTCGGGAGGGGAGCAGTCTTGCCGTCCAAGGTTCGATCTCTTTCACCCCAACATCAAAACGGGGACTAATAACCCCACATTTGTTCAGTCTTCCATTCAATTCAACCACAATTTTTCCAGATCTGTGATCATCAACATACTCAAATTCTCCAATGTAACCTACAAAATGAAATGAAAGTTGAATATACATGCATTTACAAATTCAGACAGACTTAGTCAACAGCTCAAGAGAGAAGCCTATTTAAAACTGAAACATGAGAATATGCAAGAGGACAAACCATGCTTTTGCATGACAAGAAGAAACTTGATTATCACTTTTGAGGATGGCCTGATCATGACCTGTCGTTTTCCTATCTTCTCTGCATTGTACATGCTCTTGAGAGCATCATTCAGGACGCTAACTCTCACCATCCTTGTGAATGCAAAGTGCTGAAGAAATTACAGCACAAATCAAATTGTTGAAACAGCCCAAGAGATCAGACATAACAAGTTAACAACCGCCACAAAGAACATACACCAGCACCACAAGGAAAACATATGGAGCCAACCATGGTATTCAAGATTGTATTGCATGAGCATGGATGACTAACATTGACTTCTCCCACCAAATAAAGATGGAACAATATGCTACTGAAAGATCGCTTAAGTAGACCCATGAAAAAAAAATGAAGGCCGTGGATTTTTATCTACAATCTTTTCTAACATGGATGGCAGGTGGCAGGAGGGTTGTGGATACAGCCTAAAAGGCTGTTATAATGACTACATTATAACTGTATATGTCATACATCAGCCACCCAAAAGTGAAAGCATAATCTTAATAAAAAAGATAAAAAAGTATAATCTATATATGATCAACAAGTATCCAAGAATACTAACAAATAAATATCACATTTTATTATTTAAAAAGAACAAACACCTTGCATAAAATCAGATTTCCAAGTTGCAGCTATCGACACATCTACAGATCATATCAGCAATTTAAACACACAGACATGACTTCACTCATCTAGAAGTGGGTGGCAAATCCATGAAATTTCAGTATCCACACATGTCCAACATTTGCATTCAATCCTACAACCCTACCCTCCAGTAATTCCACAAAATAGGAGAACCAATCTACTAAAATGAAGTCTTGAACTGTGTTACATGGACTCGGCACTTTGGAGCAAAGTACCCGTGTCGACACGACATGACACGGGTGTTGGTGTGGGATCTATGTCGGATTCGCCTGTTCTCTCTCAGACACAGCTCTTTACAGATAGTAAAAGAAATGAAAGAGGAGAGAGCAAGGGAGAACCTGGTCGAAGCTCCATCCAGTCAAAGATCGAAGACCTCCAGTCGAAGCTCCATCCGATTGATCCAGTCGAAGATCAAAGCTCCATCAGTCGATCGAACACCCCGGACGACTTCGAAAAGCCTCTCTCGCCTTCTCTCTCTCTCGCGATCGCGATCAATCACTTCGCTTTTCTCTCCCTCTCTCTCTCTGTCGTTTTATCTTCTTGACTTGATTCATATCTCTATCTCTTGATTCATATCTATTCGTATCTATCTATATATAATAATAATAATATAATAATTATTATATAACATATAATATAATTATAAGATAATATATACTTATATATATATATATATCAATATAAAAAAAATAAACAAATGTATGTAAATATTATTTATCCATTATTCATATTACATTTACATTAACATATAGTATAAATTACATTAATATAATAATATATAATATTATTCATCCAAAAAAATTTATATATTATAATATATCATAAATAATATAATTTTTATGTCTAAAATAAAAATAACTTATTTTATCATATATAATATAATTTATTTTATATCTAAAATAATTTTTATAATTTTTATTTGTTATTTATATAATATAACTCATATTCATATAATAAATATATATTTTTTTAAAAAAACTATTTAACGTATCCCCGTACCCATATCTAAATTTGGATATATATCCACGTATCTTTTATTTTCGTTTTATCTTCTTGACTTGATTCATATCTCTATCTCTTGATTCATATCTATTCGTATCTATCCATATATAATAATAATAATAGTTATATTATATAATAATTATTATATAACATATAATATATTTATAAGATAATATATACTTATATATATTAATAAAAAATAAATAAATGCATGTATGTAAAATAAAATAAAATAAATTAATTAGAACACATTGTTTAAAAAATATAATAAATAAATTAAATAATTAATGTATATTAAAATAAAAATATTATAAATATATATATATATATAATATAACTCATCTTCATAGATTTTTATTTGTTATTTATATAATATAACTCATATTCATATAATAAAAGGGGATCCACCAATAAATCCCAAATTAATAACTTATACACTGTTTAGTCTTAAAAGTTTTCTTATAGACTGAAAGGTCCCATTACAATGTTTCAAACATCAGATTAATGTTTCGAACATTAGATTTCGAACATCAGATTAATGTTTCGAACATTAGATTGATGTGCAAATGGGACTAAATGGAGCATAAGAAAACTTTTAGGACTAAATGGTTCAACTTTTCAGAAACTAGGACTTATGGGTAAACTTTCCTATAATAAATATATATTTTTTAAAAAAAACTATTTAACGTATCTCCGTACCCGTATCTAAATTTGGATATATATCCACGTATCTTTTATTTTTAATTTTGAAATGTCTGACACCTAGATACGCACCCGCACCCAATACCCGTACCCGAGTCCGTGTAACATAAGTCTTGAAAATGGATAAAGAAGTCACATTGAGCTTGAAGCAACCCAAAAAACTGAGAATTTTCATAGAAGAAACCAAAAGAACTCCAATCTCAACCACAACCCTACTAATTTCTTTAAGCACAAGCATTCCAAGTCACAAATGTTAGCACATTAACAGACATGTTATGGACACAAACATTAAAATTCATCTTCTCTTTTCAACATTTTTCTAAGAGCTACTACATGTACATTCAAGGCTTCAAAAAATAGTGGGTAGGTGACAGTCTTCCCTGGCAGAACAATGCCTAGATGGTCCACATGCAACGACACATGATTTTTTCCCAGATACAATTTAAAAGGGTACAAAACCAGCAAAAATGCAGATGGGATTGTGTATCTCGCTTTTCCATGTATAATATTACCTGTTATGATTACCGCATTGTTAAATTTTGAAAGACAGCTTAACGTAGACCACACCTACAATCTTAAACTACCTTTACCAATTTTAGTACATTTCAAGCTTTATGTCCTCGAAGAATAGGTTCAATTTAATTGTGATCACGAGCAATTCAATGCAAAAATCCATTTTTTATTATTGTGTAATACTAGGGAAATTAAAGAATCTAACTGGAAGACTGTAAGCAGTTAGAAAAATATAAACATGTTTTAAGCTCATGTCCCTTGCCAGCAATTTTCATCTTATTCATTTTTGTTCCGCTTACATTGCTTCAGCATATTGACAGAATACCATTGTATAGGCAAAGAATGGACTTCAAACTCAACATACACTCAATCTTGAGCTCACTTGTTTTCTTCTGATTGATTTAAGGATTTCTTAATAAATTTGGCCAATCTTGCACTCTCACTCCTCAACCTTGCCTAGACACTGTGCTGTTGCATACAATCAATGTTACTAGACAAGATAAATAGTCAATTTTTAAGTTCTTAAGACTGTGTTTGGTTGGGAGATTTGGGCGGTGATTTGGAAAGAGAAAACGAAAAGATGTAGAAAACTAAGTGAAATTTAGGTATATTTTATTGACATTTAACCTATCTTTTCCCTTTTCAAATTCCCCAACCAAACATAGCCTAAGAAATTTTCTTCTTTTATCTTCTGATATATGCGCACAGCTTAGATGGATTAGTTGTGCTACCTCTACTCAGAAAAAATACCTAGAATTGAAATGCCAGATTACAATTTGAGGCTTAGATAGACAAAATGCCAAAACAATAAAAAAAAAAATGCAGATCATAACAAAGAAATGATTTTTAACATTCTTGTGTCAATATGATCAAACAACAAAGAGAGAAAAACCGTTCATAACCACATACATATACGAAACACACACACATATATATATATAGACGCGTGAATCGAAAAGAAGCAGATCAAGACCTAACGAGGTTCCACGGTAAGGTTTACCTCGCAGAAGAAACGGCGGCACAGCAGGCTTGGTCTCTACTGAGTGTGGATGGCGCTGAGGAGAGTACAAAGGTCCCTAGGGTTTCGGCTCTTAAATGCAACGAAATGGTTCATTTCCAGTTTTATCCCTATGAAACTTTGTTATTACGGTAATACCCTGCTAGTTATATATGGGTCCCGTAAAATGAAACTCCGGCCCCACCGGACCTTGTAGGCGCAACCCAGGCGGTTAGCAACTCGAATTCAATTTGAATTTTATTAAAACTTTAATAATATATTTTTTAATTTAGTGCAAACTTATGCAAAATTTTAAAAGTTTGACTTAAATTTGAATTGAATTTAGGTATGGGTATCAGGATAGAGTATCTTGGGATATAATTTAATGAGTGTTAAAAAAGAAAGAGGTGACAAAATGTTACATTAATGTGATTAGGGATATGTATGAAGGTGTGATGACCACTATTAGATAACTTACTAAAGAAACAAGTGAATTTTCAATTACTGTAGGTTACACCAATGATCAACCTTAAGTCCGTATCTTTTTAGTTTAGTTATAGGTGAGTTGACGAGAAATATTCAGGATGATATGCTATGATTTTTACAAATGATATCATGTTAGTAGATGAAATTAGAGAAGGAGTTAACACTGAGTTAAAGACTTTGAGAGAAACACTTTAATCTAAAGGATTTTGGATATGCAAAACTAAGAGTACATGAAGTGTAATTTTAGTAATAGTAACAATGGAAGTAGAGGATAAATGAAAATTGCGAATCGATAATTACCTAAGAGTGAATATTTTCGTTATTTATGATCGATTATCACAACGGCTGGGGAGATTAGAGTGGATGTAATCCATAGAATTAAGTTGTGGTGGCTTAAGTAAATAAGTGTGTCTAGAGTACTGTGCGATAAACGAATATCTACTAGACTAAGAGGGAAATTCAATAGAACGACTATTAAACCAGTAATATTGTACGAAACAAAATGTTGGGCAACTAAGAAATAACATGTAGATGAGATGAGTGTTGCTGAGATGAGAATTTAAGGTGGATGTGTGGCAATGTTAGAAAATATAAAGTTATGAATAAGTATATTCAAGAACGGATAAGAGTAGTACTGATAGAAGATAAGTTGAGAGATAATAAGTCATATACAACAAAGACCAACAGATGCAGTAGTGTAGAGATATGATACAGTGATGGTAGATGGAAAGGTTAGGAGAATAAGCAGACCTAGATTAATATGGGCTAGCGTAGTAAATATCGATATGAATCTCCTTAACTTAACTAACGAAATGCCCTTGGATAGAATCGAGTGAAGAAGAAGGATTCATGTGAACGACCTCATTTGATGAGATTTAAAGCTTGGTTTGGTTTAGATCATATTTACTATGGTCTATTTTGGCAATTAGAAAAATAGGTAGCTTATTGACTTATTAACTTATTTGGGCCACATCACCTCTTTATTTTTTTTTACAAGTTTTCAAAAAAATTAAAAATTAAAAATTAAAAATTAAAAAAAGTTAACTTTCCCAAAATAAATCTATATATATCGTACATACAGGTGAACATAATATAAAAATGTTACTATTTTTCTTTCTTATTTGAAAGTGGCAAATAGTGAATTGAATAGTAGTTTGGTTATTGCTATTTAGACCAGTAAAAAGGGGTTTCTTGTGTTTCTCGTGTTTCTCGTGTTTTTACTATTTCCTTTTTATTTTTTGGGGTTTTTGGAGTGTTATCATCATGAAAAAAGGGGTTTCTTCTAAACTCTAAGCTGGTTATTCAGCAATTATCAAAAGAAGAAAAATGTAAAGATATTGCTCTGGACAATGACTTGATTAGAGATGATCTACGAGGTTCATCTACCCAAGACATGTTTTCTACCTTTGACCCTCTTGAAATTGCACTAATTAAAGATACCCTTTGTGATGATTTCCTATTTGATTGGGAAACTGTTGCCCAAACTCTTATGTTGTGTTTGATTGAGAGATTTGGAAAGGGATTTGGAAAGGAAAATGAAAAAGGTAGGTGAAATGTGAATAAATCATGCCTACATTTTACATAGTTTCACACACATTTTCCCTTTCCTTTTCCAAATCACTCTCCAAATCCCCCAACCAAACACAGCATTAGAGACAATAACTTAGATGATATGGATAAAGATCTAGTCCCTAATGTCGTCTCACTAGAGCACTATCCGACAAGGCCATGGGTGCCAAATAGTGAATTGAATAGTAGGGCTGCTTCTGATCCATCTTCTAGTTCCCAATCAAGTTCTTCATTTAATTGTGACAAATGAGTTGTTTTTGGCAATAAGGTTCCAATTAATAACAAGAATCTGCATGAAGGCAATGTTAGTTGTTCAGAATGGGGCATCACAAATGCAACTCCTCGCACAAAGCCTTTCAAGCAAAAAAAGAGAGTGTTTTTGGATAGGAATGTTCTACTCATGGATCGTAACTTGCATCAAAGCCTTACCACTATTGGGTCTTTTTAGTTTTTACATCGGCAAAATTTGTCGGCTGTTAAGTTCAGATACAAGAGATTTCCCCAACAGAGGAACAAGTTAACATGCCAAACGTTTCATGACCTAGTAGAACAGCCGGATGCACTCCACCCCAATGCCAATGAATCATTATCACAACATATAGAGGATATTCATATGTCTAAATAGGTTGTGGGTGTTCATGACGTGTCACTAATAGAATAGGTTTCTATACAAGTAGTGAAGTGTCATGTGGGGAGATCTAAGCGAATTCAAGCCCTAATAAATCGCTTTGTGGAGTGAGATGATATGGCAGCTAATGTGGAAATCCCTCAACCCCATGACCAAGATCAAGGCAAGTGTAAAAGAGAGCCTCAAATTGAAAATAGTATCAGCAACCCAAGTATCTTCCAGTAACCTCGACGCAGAGCCCTTTAATTAAGTTGTTTCAATCTCGTGCTTATATTTTGTTATTTTTTGGAATATGTACTTATTTTGCTCTCATTGGCAAGGTGTTGTTGTCGTAACTACTAGTAATTTGGGTGTTGATTATTGTATTTTGTTTGCCTTCTTGTTTGCTGATAGTTTTTTTGTAGTGGTGTATTGAACTTGATGTATCCATCTGATTCTATGTATATATTTGCTTTACCATTCCTCAAAAAAAGAAAAAAAAAGAAAAAAGAAAAGAAAGTGACAAAGACCATCAAAATGGTGAAATGAGTGATCAAGGTGCACAGGTTTGGCATTACATGAAGGACGTGCATTATTCTGTGTGCTCAACCTATCACTTTCACTTTGTTTGGTTAGAGTGATTTGGAAAGGAAAAAAAAAGAAAAAAAGATATTTGAAGAAATGGATTTCAATCCCTTAGGGTTGTTTGGGATATTCTACATAAGTGTACTTTTTGACTTTTTGGACAAAAAATTTGAGGAAAAAAAAATATGGTTATTTGGAACAACTTTTTGACTTTTTACGGTAAAATTATATAAATTAGTGTATAGGAGAAGTTTGGACAAAGTAGGTAATACGGTGGGCAGAGTAGTGTATAAAAGAAGCTTGCCTCATTTTTGGGCATTGAATTAGACGGTGTTGTTCAACCCGTTAAGGCCCACCACGAGTCCCGTTTTACTAATCGTAACCGTTTAATGTGTAGAACTCGTTGAGTACTATATACTAGTAAAAAATCGCATTAATCGGATATCGATAACTATCTGATCGAAATAGTTTTTTTGTCAACCGTTAACTATAACACCATCTATTTTTTATACAAAACTGTATTGATCATATATTTAGCGATATCCGATCAACTTGATTTTTTACAAACATATATTACTCGACGAGTTTTGCACATTGAACAGTTCAGATTATCAAAATGGAACCCGTGATGCGCGCCACGGGCCGAGCAACACCATCTTGTTTGCTTCTCTACCTGTTCACTTTGTACAAACGGTGGGCAGCTAAAGTACAACTCACGTGACATGTGAGTTGTACTTTTTTTTGTGAAATTAATATTATTTTTTTTTGTGAATAGTGATAATTTTTTAACTTTTTTAGTTACTTTTTGATTTTTTGATTTTTTTGAGATATGCCAAACCAGCAGATTACCAAATATGAGAGAAATTGAGACAAATGGAAAGAAATAGAGAGAGACACATTTTTCTCATAACTCATATTTTCAATCTCTCCAAAAGTAAAGAGAAATAGAAAAAAATAAAACCACTAAATATTATTTTGTTATAATACCAAAACTATATTTTTAAATATAGAACAAATAAAAATACTAACACATATAAAAAGATTAATTTGGTAATATAATATTACATCGTTACTTTTCTTTTATATAACTTATCAAACAAGAAATGAGAAAAATCAATAATTTTTTTTTTCTCTTAACTATCCAAACAAAAGGAAAAGAAATCACAATCTTTTTTTTTTATTTTCCGTTCACAAATAACTTATTTAATCATTTTTTAAAAATAATTTTTGTCTCTTAAATTACCAAACATACTATTAAAGATGGAATTGATGGATCGAGTTGTAGCTACTAGGCCTCCGAATGAGGGTAGTAGCCAAAGCGTTAGAATCCTCTAGAGTAATACCCTACAATGATCTCCTATAGTGAAGGTGAAACAGTCGACACGTGGCCCACTCACCAACCAAGGGCTGAGATTTAAACTTACCAGAACAACGTTGTTTTGGTAAGTAAATTAAGGGAAAAAAATCCAAAATTCAAATTTCTAGGTTTCATTTATGGGGGAGAGTTATAGAGAGAGAAGGGCTGAGAGAAAATGAAGAGGAGGACGTTGCCGCCCCTGTAACAACCCCGACCCATAATTAACGTTAATCCATGCTTAATTATGCCTAATAAATAATTAAAGCGAAATTTTACATCGTATGTTGCCTTATTTGTGTTTATATCTGTTTAACTTAGAAAAATCTGTTCATGTTTCCATTTCGGTTTGCAAATTGAATGCTTTATCGGCAGCCGATTCAGAAATTGACTTGATTTATGTGTTATTTGAGATTTTTTGAATTTTATAGTAGGTTTAATTGAAATTCGATTAGGAATAAAATAATTAGAACAAAATAATGCAAATTTGTTTAATTAAGGCCTCATTAGGGAAGCAACCAGTTTAGCC